GCCAGCCCCCGCCCCCTCGCCCCGCCCACCGCCAGCCCCGGCTTAGCCGGGAAGCGCAGAGCTGCTCGTCGGCGCGCCGCGCTCCAGCCGGCCCAGCGAGCCCCCGCCTACCCTGACCCCCGCCGCTCTCATCGCCTCCTACGCAGCTGAGTCCGGCGGAAGGGGGCCTGGATCTGTTCTCGGGTCACATTTTGAACCGTTGTTGGCAACACAGAAGAGCCCAAAGTCCCCCCTTGGAACAGGGCCAATGGCTGGGCGTGGGGGTGAGGAAGGGAGGGTTATTCAAGGACTAGTGCAATGGATTCCCAAACTTCATCTAATGGTGACCCCTCCTTCACGCTGCAAGCCCCTGGGGATGACCCCCCCCCCAAGAAATTTTTAACACGAGGGGCTAATTTAATTCATTTTTATTCTGACAGGAGCTCTGGCCTATCAGGCCCAGCTGGCAGAGAGCACCCAACCCCCATGTAACCACCTCATGACTCCCTGAGGCTTCCCACCCCCAATTCCTGGCCTACTGGAATTATTCAAGTTTCCAGCCATCTTTCCAGTGGAGGTGACTGGTCAGTGAGGGAAGACACCCTGCATAACATGCAGCCCCTTTGCCCTTTGGGGACAAATCTAGCTGCTTAATACAAGTTTGGCTGATAAAAGCAATTGTGCTGATACAACATAATTCTGAAAGATTTTGATGTGGTACTGCACAACACTTTGATTCCAAAATTAGAATGATATCAAATTAACAGGGCACACATTGCATGGATTAACAACAGTTGATAGTCTCACAATATAATCGTAGATGGGGAATCAACATGGAGTGGGTGTGTTTCTAGTGGGGATTTGCAATATATGGTTATTATCATTAACATCTTTGTCAGTGATTATTATATTTTCATCATTATTATGTCTGCACTTGGGAGAAGATTGACTCTCTGGAGGTCGATCTTCTAGCAATTGATTTAGCAAGTCTAGTGTAAACCCCCAGGTTGAATGCTGATGGCAGCTCCTGCTGTCATCCTGTACTCCTCAATCTGCGAAGAGTAAGAGAAGCTGTCAGGAGTGTGTGCTCCCATCAGCTTCCCACAATGTAAACACTGTGGCGGCTTGGCTTAAGGAAAGTCAAATCCAGCTGTGCACTCTGCGGAGCTGGATGGTGTAACTTAAGCAGACCTGCCTGGTCAAGTGGAGACCAGGTCTGATAAAGTTTGCAGATGACACTGCAATCTCTGATACAGTGCAATGTAGATCACTTGGAAAACTGGGCAAAGAAAACAGTGTATGTTTTAATATAGTTAAATGTATATATTTATGAACAAAAATTTAGAGGATGGGGAACTCTATCTTGGGGAAGCAGTATCTAATAAAAAAGATGGGTGGGGGTCATGGTGATATTCAGCCCTCAATTTGATGCCATGGTCAAAAAAGGGAAAGGTGATCTTGGGATGCAAAACCAGGAGAATGCCAAGTAGAAGTAGAGAGGTTATTTTACCACTGTGTGTTTGCCATTGGTACGAAGGTGTTCAGGTCTGGTATCCACAATTCAAGAAGGATGTTGATAAACTGGAGCAGGTTCAGAGAAGAGCCACAAAATAAAGGATTAGAAAAACATGCCTCGTAGTGACAGACTCATGGAACTCAATATATTTAATTGAAAAAGAAGGTTAAGGGGTAACCCTCACAGTTTATGAGAAATGGGTATTTGAAAATAAGCTCTTCAATCTAGCAGGCAAAAAGTGTAACATGAGCTGGAAGATGAAACTAGATAAATTCAGACTGGAAATAAGGTATTAATTCTTTGTAACATGAGCTGGAAGATGAAACTAGATAAATTAAGAATTAATATCTTATTTACAGTCTGAACAGTGAAGGTAATTATTGGAACAGTTTGTCAAAAGTCATGCAGGAGTCTCCATCCCTGGACATTTTTAAATTAACTGGATATTTTTCTAAAGACATGCTATATACATTTTAGAGACATTCTGCAACCTGTGTTATACAGGTTACACAAAATGATCACAATGGCCGCCTCTGGCTTCCCTTTGAAACTATAGGTTGGTTTCTGGCACTAGTGCTAGTGCCTTTTCCCTGCCATTGTAATCTGCCACTTCACTTTATCAGGATTATTTATTTTCCTGCTCCAGCCATTTTTACACCAGATATTGAGATGCAGCTGCTAAGAGTCTTGACATAACCTTTACATGTGTGGTCAGGTTAGCCAGTTAAATTTCCTTTTCCAGACAAATGCACTGTTTCTTTAGGAAAAGTTTAGCATTTCTTTTGTCCCTTCCAATGTATACAACTGATATTCAATACCAGCAGCAAATCTTAAGAAACCATTCAGCTATAAAGTATAATACCTCGCTCTTAAAGTGCTTTTTATCTATAGCTTTCAAAGCACTTTAGGAGTTAAGTGCCATTATCCCCACTTGACATGTGGGGAAAATGAGATTTACCCCAGGTTGCTTAGCAAATCTGAGACAGGAACAGAACTTAGGTCTCTTGAGTACTACTCCACGGGTTTAGCCACTGAAACAGTACCTCCTGCAATAGCTAGCATGTAAGATTGATCTGTGATTACCATATCGTTACTATGGGACTGAACTAACAGTTCAGATTTCAGAGTGGGTTTTCTACTTACAGTTTTATGTGCTCTCTGCATTATCAAATGTCCACCAGTGTTTGTCTCATTTAAGTGCATGCCACTAAACATAGGATTGGGTTGCAAAACTCACTCTTATAAAATGTATGAAGTAGAGTTCCTCTTTGCTTTCAGTTTTTTATTAAGCTACACTGAAGAGCTGGTGCTTAATTGGTCATTTGAAAATTGGTTTGTGCATTACAGGCAGTCCCCGGGTTACGTACAAGATAGGGACTGTAGGTTTGTTCTTAAGTTGAATCTGTATGTAAGTCGGAACTGGCATCCAGATTCAGCCGCTGCTGAAACTGACCAGCGCTGACTACAGGAAGCCCGAGGCAGAGTTGCTCTGCCCCGGGCTTCCTGGAATCAGCCGCTGATCAGTGTCAGCAGCAGAGGGATTGGGGACGCCTGGGTTTCTTAAGCTGAATCTGTATGTAAGTCAGAACTGGGCTC